AAAAAGAATTTATTGTTAGAATAAAAAAATAAAAAAATTTCATGGGAGGGATGCATTAGGGGAAAACACAGTCCAAAAAGGCCCTTTAGGAGGGTGATAATGAAAGAAAAGGTTGAGAAACACTGATATAAGGTATTAGGGATCTGTCCAATATCTTCTTAACCTTTGAAGCCAGAAATCTGGGAGTCACCCTTGACAATTCCTTTTCCCTTATCCCCACTAAATGGCCACCTTTATTTCCTAATTTTTTTCTGGATTCTCTTTTTCTCTGTTCCTATTATCATTGCCCTAATTCAGGTATTCACAATCTTTTGCCTAGACTATATAGGCTATATATAACAGCCTCTTTAACCTGTTCCTTCTCTTTTTAAAAAAATTTTCTTCTTTATTGGTTTTTAGAAAAAATGAAAAGAGAGAGGGAGAGAGAGAGAGAAACATCGATGAGAGAGAACACAGACTGGCCATCTCCTACATGCCCCTCACTGGGGATTGGGCCCCCAACCTGGGCATGTGCCCTGACCAGGACTCGAATTGGCGACCTCATGGTGCATGGGTTGACACTCAACCACTGAGCCACACTGGCCGGGCCTGTTCCTTCTCTCTTTACTCCAAACTTCTTGAAACAGTTTGCCTCTCCTCTCATTTCTTATCCCACTCCAATTTGTTTCCATGCCACTGAAACTTTGTAAAAGCCACCAATCAAGCACGTGACGCTAAGACTTACCTTTATTATAGGTATACACACACACATATACTTGCCAGTATCAATAGACATATATTTCCCTATTTTATTTTTTAATCCTCACCCAAGGATATTTGTCTATTTACTTTTAGGTAAGAGTGGGAAGGAGAGAGAGAGAGATCAATGTGAGAGGGACACATCGACTGTTGCCTCCCACATGACCCTGACCAGGGTGGGGGACAATCTGCAACCAAGGTACATGTCCTTGGCCAGAATGGAACCCCAGACTCATTGATCTGCAGGCCGACACTCTACCGCTGAGCCAAACTGGACAGGGCTATCCCTATGATATATAAATATTAGCAATTTTGGTCAGATGGTCAAGTTTTCCTGAAGGAAGTCTCAGAGTTATACCAAGCTGGTCAGGACACCAGCTCATTCATATTTAACATACTACGTCATATTGTTGTCTGTGTGCCTAACTATAAGAGGATTTATAAATTATCCAGTTTTAACTAAATTAAGATTCACAAAATAAGTGATTGAGAACCCTATCAAAAAACTGAATGGAAGACAATGTTAATAATGTAAGCACAAAAGGAACAAAAAAACAGCAGAGCTGATGTCTCTGGAAATAAGAGCTCCTTTAAGCACCAAAATTTCACGTACTATGATCACAATAAAACAAAACATACAATGCCCAGCTAATCAGAACTAAGTCAGCCAAAAACTTTAAATTATTTAGAAGACTATCTAAAATATGGACTTACAATAGGGCATACTCAAGAGAGCATGTCCGCACCTTTCCCCCTCTCCTTACCCCAGGCACATTCTCTCTGCTTTTCTTTTTCCTAAGCTCAAAGGGCTCTTCTTTTGCCTCTGTAACTCATTTCCTGAGCCCACACAGCCCAGCTGGCTCACCTTTTCTACCTCTGTGACCTTCTAAATAAACTTTTGCTTGTATTTAAAAAAAATAAAAAATAAAACATGGACTTAAAATCTCTTGTTCATCTTACTCCAAATATATATAATGCTTAAAAATAATACCTACTGCCTGGCCGCTGTGGCTTCAGTGGATTGAGCATCGTCCCATGGACTGAGAGGTCCTAGTTTGATTCCTGGTCAGGACACATAACCAGGTTGTGGGCCAAATCCCCAGTGGGGGGCATGTAGGAGGCAGCCAAGTGATGTTCTCTCTCATCAATTGTTTCTATCTCTCTCTCCCTCTCCCTTCCTCTCTCTCTCAAATCCATAAAGGGAAAATAAATAATAGCTACTGAATACAAAATGCTATCATGGTCAGCAAGATGTTTAAAATTACTTGTCTTCATCCTTTAATGTGTATTTAAATACATAGAACTTGGCAAAATACATATACTATTTAAGCCTAGCGGGTGGCTCTGTGGAGTGAGTGTTGTCCCATTGTCTGAGAGGTCTCGGTTTGATTCCTAGTCAGGGCACATGCCCAGGTTTCTGGCTCAATCCCCAGTAGGGGGTGTGCAGGAGGCAGACGACAGATGTTCCTCATGTTTATGTTTCTCTCTCTCTCAAAATAATTAATTAAAAAATATATATTTAAAAGAATAGGGGAGGCAGCCTGACTCTAGACTAAAAATCCCCTTCAGGACCTTGATCAGATTTTGTTGCTCCACTAAAGAACTTTCGTCTACCAGAAAAGGATTACTTTATTTAAGTCTCACAAGGGGCCTATGTACAGCAAAATTGGTAAGATTCTCACTTCTGACTTTGCTGCTTACTGTGTTCTCTGAGGTATTTTCTCAATCTGTAATAACAGAGTAAATCGCTACCAAATTTGTTTCACTGAACTTAATAAACTAAACATTACCTCCTTCCCTCTGAGGCAACAACAGTGTTCCTGAAATTGAAGACCAATACAAAATCTGTAGTATTAAAGCCCCTAAAATTTTTCACTGATACATAAAGCTACAGTTACAAAGACAGGCCTATCAGTGTTAATGGAGGATTCTGGAAACCAGAGTACTTAACAGAAAGCAACTGCCCTGGCTGGTTTGGCTCAGCAGTTAGAGCGTTAGCCTGCGGTCCAGAGAGACCCGGGTTCGGTTCCGGCTAAGGGCACGTACCTCGGTTGCGGTTTGTGCCCGGCCCTGGTTGGGTCGTGCGGGAGGCAGCCACTTGATGTGTCCCTTTCACGTCGATGTTTCTCTCTCTCTCCCTCCCACTCTATCTGAACAAAAAATAGAAAAATGTCCTCGGGTAAGGATGAAAAAAAAAGAGAAAGGAACCAACATTATTGAAGGTGGAAAATAATCTGTTCTGGTATTACTAGGCTTCCAACACTGTGTTCCATCTTTCATTCTCAAACACCTTTAAAACAATGCCATCTCCCTTCTTCTTTTTTTTTTTCAAATCCTCACCTGAGGACATTTTTGCATTTATCTTCAGATACCGTGGGAGGGAGACAGGGGGAAAGAGAGAGAGAGAAACATCGACTGGTTGCCACTCACACGACCCCAACTGGGCAGGGACAAACTGCAACCAAGGTATGTGCCCTTAGCAGTAATCGAACCCGGGTCTCTCTGGTCGGGCCGGGGCTCTAACAGCTAAGCCAAACCAGTCGGGGCCTCCCCTCTTTCTAGAGATGAGAAAATGAAGGGTCAAAAAGAAAAATAACATTTATTGAGGCTACCGACATTAGATGCCTTCCATATATATGACTGCATTTAACATATAAGTGACTTCTCTGGATGAGAGCTAGGAAGTGACAGGCAGGATTATAATACCAGATTTGATTCTACAGTCACTGCCATGCAGCTCAAGGGAATAATTTATGTTTTCTCTTGCCCTGGCCGGTTTGGCTCAGTGGTAGAGCGTTGGCCTGTGGTCCAAAGAGACGTGGTTTGGTTCCGGCTAAGGGCATGTACCTCGGTTGCAGTTTGTCCCCGGCCCTGGTTGGGTCGTGCGGGTGGCAACCACTCGATGTGTCCCTTTCACGTCGATGTTTCTCTCTCTCTCTCCCTCCCCACTCTATCTGAACAAAAAATGGAAAAATGTCCTCAGGTGAGGATAAAAATTAATAATAATAATTTATGTTTTCTCAGGATAAGGGATTTTACGAAACTCAATCCCAGAGTCTCATTTAGCCCCGCCCTCACACACACACACACACACACACACACACACAATATTTGGGGGTTTTCAATTTCGTTCAGGCTAAAGATTTCAAAGCAGGTTCACTAGCAAAAAACCACCTTTACAACTTTGCCTGGTTAAAAAGCTTTCTTTCACCCTTTTCCAGCCCAACCACTAGGGGGCCAAGCTATAAACTAGGGCTCCAGAGTAATCACCCAGTTTTAGGCAGTGACCTTGGGTAAATTACCTTACCTCTCTAAGCCTCAGTTTCCTTATCTGTAAAATAGGGATAACAGTAGTATCTTTCTCATTAGGTTGTGCCTACTAAGTAAAACGTGACATGTAAAGCACTCAGAACAATACCTGCAAATACAAAGTGCTTAGCAATTTTTTTTCCCTCTGGAAAGGAAATACCACTGATATTTCTGTCCCTAAATCCAAAGGCTTTGCCTTCTTCTTCTCCCTGAGCACAAGCCTTGCCAGCCGGAGTCCCTCAAGAAACAGCAACAGGTCGCTCCTTTACTCCTAACCAGGGCTAGGCCCAGAAACCTGAAGTCCCTGATCTACATGTGACCACAAGGTCTTGGTCTTTGGTTTTCTACCACTACAAGGGCTGTCACTCTGAGCCCAACCGAACCACCCCATTTTCGCCTGGGTTCGGGAAGTTCTCCTGGCCTTCTGCCGCCCAAGCTGCCTTTGGCACAGCTGCCCTTGGTTACGGGCCTGGAGCTGGCTCGCCTGGCGTCCCCTCACCAGAGGACTCTATCAGCGACGCAGGTAGGATTTCCCTGAGCCACTGAATACAGTCAAGATACGCGTCGGTCAAACACAAGCCTGGAGGAAGGCTCCCTCGGCGCCGCCCGGGCCTGCGGCGGGGAGCCCGTGCCCCAGCCCCTCTCGGCAGCGCAGGCTGGAGGGTCGGCTCCTTTCTAGCCCCCCGGGAATGCTTGGGCTTCGGCCCAGTGACACCACGTGGGGGCCCCAGGCGTGGCAACGTTCCCGGAACCAGCCCCCTAAGACTGCTCCCAGCATGGGCCCTAGCCCGGCCCCAAACTGGCGTGAGCGGCACTCCTGGCCCAGCTTCTTCCCAAAACCTATTTGGAGGGGCCTCAGGCATCCTCTGCAGCCTGGAGTCAGGCTGTCGCCAGACCCCAAACCCCGAAACCGCCTCGGCTGGAGTCCCCAGTTGCTTGGTTTCCTTACTCACCCATCGCGGCTCCGCTCGCTCCTACTTGGCGGCGGCAGCGGCGGCAGCTTCAGCAGACAATATGGCGGATCTGCAGGACGGCAGCCCAAAACGGACAAACAACTTAACATTCAACTCCGGGAAGAAATGCGCTCTCAGCCCTGCAGCCTAGTTTGCACAGAAAAGCGCACTTAAAGAGACCGCAGCTACTAATGGCGGGGAGTAGGGTTGGAATGTGGAAAGGATGGGTGGAAAAAGATTGAGAGGGATACCTACTAAAGAAAGCATACCTGAGAGTTCTCAGCTTTCTCTGCCTGTTATTTCCTCTTTATAGTGAGGTCTCCCCCACTACAAACTTTTTCTCCCAGAAAGGAATCCTTTCACAGTTAAAGCCAATCATGGACCCTGAACTGGATATGAATAAGGACTCACTCTAAGAAGGGAAGTGACTTGCTCAAGGATATAGAGATAAGGAAATGAAGAAATCAAGAGTAAACAGGATTAAAATCTTATTGGGAGATAAAAAGTAGATAAATGAGACCAGTGCAGTGCTTTACAGTTGGCAGAGATATTTCATTTATTCTCACAGCAAGCTCTCTGAGGGCAGGGGTATGTTCTGTATTCTTCATCACTATCTGCAACACCTAGTACAATATCTGGCACAGGGTATGTGCTCCATAAATAATTGTTGAATGATGGTGGGAGGGACATTAGGAAAAATTAGTGAAATTTTAATAAAGTGTGGGCTTTAGTTATTAGTAATACACCAATGTTGTTGCCTTATGTTTTACAAAACCTAGGGTCATGTAAGATATTAACAATAAAAGAAACTGGGTTGGGGAATACAGAACTCTCTGCACTATTTTTGCAACTTATATATAAATCTAAAATTCTTCCACAATAAAAAGTTTCAATTAAACAATAATTGTTGAATGAAGAAACAAATGAACACAAAGCTTGGGAAGTGATCTCCTCTTTTAGAGATGAGAAAATTGAAGCTCTGAGTGTTCATGTGCCTTTTGAATCATGGAATGTATGGCTGGTACACATTTGGCTTCTCTTTTTGCATGACAGGCCAGTCCTCCTGTTCCTCATCTCAACACACAGAGGAAAGCTATGACTTCAAGTCACTGGTCCCAAGAAGAAGCTGTTTTTTGGAAGCAGAATGGGGGACCTGGCTTCCAAGTCCTGTCACAACAAATTGCCAACTCTAGTTGTGTGCCTTAAGGTTAAGGGAGCTAACTTTAAAGCTAACTTTAAATTGCAGGGTCAGGAATGGGAGTACTATCTTTCTCTTTCTACTGCCACTGCTCAAGGTCAGATTTCATTATCTCCTGGTCATTTTGCCTGCCTTCTCACTGGTTTCCTGGCCCCAGGCTTTCCCACTTGTACCTACCATCTCCTTAAGAGCAGATACCTTACCCTGGCCAGTTTGGCTCAGCGGTTAGAGCATCGACCTGCGGTCCAGAGAGACCCGGGTTCAGTTACCACTAAGGGCATGTACCTCGGTTGCAGTTTGTCCCCGGCCCTGGTTGGTTGTGCGGGTGGCAACCACTCAATATGTCCTTTTCACGTCGATGTTTCTCTCTCTCTCTATTACTTTCTCTCCCTCCCACTCTACCTGAACAAAAAATGGAAAAATGTCCTCAAGTGAGGATGATTAAAAAAAAAACACAAAGAGCAGATACCTTATTATGTCATACCTCTGCTTAACTACTTCCTATTGTCTGTCCTTAGGTAATGCCCCCAAATTTCAATCTGACACACAGGCTGGTCTTACTAAATTCTTGGGCTACTCCCCACAGGGCAAACCAGGCTCCATCCATATTAGGGAAACCACTTTTCCCCAGATACCCTATCTTCTTGTATGCTTTTGCATATACTGTTCCCTCTGCCTGGAATGCAATGCCTTCCCTTCCCTCTTGACCATAGGGTGATCTACTCACTTTCAAGACCCAATTCAACCCTCCATGAGAAAGCCTGCCTTACCCGCCGGGGTCAGGGATAGCTGTCCTCTGCTCCCCAGTGCCTTGGACACACGTTTTCTTCAGCATTTCTCTCTCTCTCTCTAAAAAAAAAAAAAAAAAATACAAAAAATTTTTTTAATATGAGCAATAAATACGTATCCATCAATAAATGAATCTTAAAAACAAATGAAGCAGAACAGAAACAGTCTCATAGATACAGAGAATATTTTGACAGTTGCCAGATGGGAGAAGGGGTTGCAGGGATTGGTTAAAAGGTGAAGGGATTAAGAACTACAAATTGGCTGTTACAGAATAGTCATGGGGATATAAAGTACAGCATAGGGAATATATTAAATAACCTTGTTCGAAGTTGGCCCTGGCCAGTTTGGCTCAGCGGTTAGAGCATTGGCCTGTGGTCCAGAGAGACCCAGGTTCGGTTCCCGCTAAGGGCACGTACCTCGGTTGCAGTTTGTCCCCAGCCCTGGTTGGTCGTGTGGTTGGCAGCCACTCGATGTGTCCCTTTCACGTTAATGTTTCTCTCTCTCTCTCCCCCTCCCACTCTACCTGAACAAAAAATGGAAAAATGTCCTCGGGTGAGGATAAAAAAAAGAAAAAGAAAATATTGTTCAAGGTTGTCTATGGAAGGGATTGTGGATAATAAATCTAACCAAAAGTAACCTCACAGGGTGATCTGATTATAAATTCCTAACTGGGTAGCCAGCCAGGTCATGGTCGGTAGTCATGCTCCATACAACATTTTTAGTAAAAGGTTTATTTTTGCTTTAAGCCGTCTGTTGTCTATTATTCTTAAGCATCTAGGTTAACACACCTGAAATGTCAGAGTAATCCTCTTTTTCAGACCCCTCAAGGGACCACATGATCTTAACTATCCTGTACTTTGCTTTCTCCTACCTTCATGTAATCTTCTTTAGTTCCCGCCTTAATTCCAAATGCATGAGAGAAACTGAACTGCCATTCTCCAGAGCATTTGAGAGCTTGCTTCCCAGCTCTCAGTTGTTGTCAGTTGGGGCTTAAATAAACATTTTTATTTTTAACTTTAAAATTTTTCATTTAAATCATTTTAAATTTTCAATTACAGCTGACATACAATATTAGTTTTAGATGTACACACGAGTGATTAGACATTATATAACTTACTAAGTAATCATCCCTGTAAAACTAGTACCCATGTGACACCATACGTAGTTCTTACAATATTATTGAATCTATTCCCTATGCTGTACTTTATATCCCCATGACTATTCTGTAACAGCCAATTTGTAGTTCTTAATCCCTTCACCTTTCTACCAATCCCCCAACCCTCTCCCATCTGGCAACTGTCAAAATGTTCTCTGTATCTATGAGACTGTTTCTGTTCTGCTTCATTTGTTTTTAAGATTCATTTATTGATGGATATGTATTTTTTGCTCATAGTAAACGTTTTCTTGTATGTTTTAAATTTTTTTTAGAGAGATAGAAATATCAATGTGAGAGAGAGACATCAGCTGCCTCCTGCACACCCTGCCCTGGAGATCTAGCCCGAAACCCCAGGCATGTGCCCTGACCAGGAATCGAACTGGGACCTCTCAAGTCCATGGGATGATGGTCAGCCAGGTTATTGTTTATATTTTTATCTTTTTTCTTCTTCTTCTTAAATAAGACCCTTTAGCATTTCATATAATACTGGTCTTGTGATGTACTCCTTTAGTTTTTTTCCCACCATTTTATTATTTTTTCGTTATTGATTTTTAGAGAGAGAGGCAGGGAGGGAGAGAAACATTGAAAAGAGAGAACATCGATTGGCTGCCTCCTGCATGCCCCCCACGGTGGATTGAGTCCATAACCTGGGCATGTGCCCTGACCAAGAATTGAATCTGTGACCTCTTGGTGCATAGGTTGACGCTCAACCACTGAGCCACACCGGCTGGGCTTCATTTTTTTAAAGATTTTTAAAATTGATTTTTACAGGGAGAGACAGTAACAGTTATGTGAGAATGAAATATCAATCTGCCCTGACCAGAAATTGAACCGGCAACCTTTTGGTGCAAGGGACAATGCCCAACCAACTGAGCCACACCGGCCAGGGCAGCTTTTTATTGTCTGGGAAGCTCTTTATCTGTCCTTCGATTCCATTGTTTTTTATCTTTTTGGTACGTGCCCCTAGCGGGAACCGAACCCGAAACTCTCTGGTCCGCAGGCTGATGCTCCAGCTGCTGAGACAAACCGGCAGGGGCTGTCCTTTGATTCTAAATGATAGTTTTTCAGGGTACAGCAATCTTGGTTGTAGGTCTTGCTTGTCATCACTTTGGATATTTCTTGCCAATCCCTTTTGGCCTGCAGTTTCTTTTGTGAAATCAGCTGATAGTCTTTTTTTTTGGGGGGGGGGAGGGTATGTGCCCCTAGCAGGAACCGAACCCAGGACTCTCTGGTCCACAGGCTGACGCTCCAACCGCTGAGCCAAACCAGCAGGGGCTCAGCTGACAGTCTAATGGGAGCGCCCTTGTAGGTAACTAACTGCTTTTCTCTTGTTGCTTTTAAGATTTTCCTTGTCTTTAACCTTTGCATTTTGATTATGATGTGTCTTGGTGTGGGCATCTTTGGGTTCATCTTGTTTGGAACTCTCTGCACTTTCAGGACTTATATATGTTTCCTTTACCAAGTTAGAGAAGTTTTCAGTCATTCTTTTTTCTTTTGTCATTATTTTTTCAAATAGGTTTTCAATTTCTTACTCTCTCTTCTCCTGCCAGTACCCCTATGATGTGAATGTTGGTATGCTTGAAGTTGTCCTAGAGGGTCCTTATGCTAGCCTCATTTTTTTTTGGATTCTTTTTTGTTTTTGCTGTTCTGAATAGGTGTTTTTGCTTCCTTACATTCCAAATCGCTGATTTACTTCTTGGCTTCATGTACTCAACTGTTGATTCCCTGTAAGTTATTCTTTATTTCAGTTAGTGTATCCTTCATTTATGACTCTTTCTTTCTTTCTTTTTTTAAAAATGTTTTTATTGTTTTTTAGAGAGAGAAGAAGAGAGAGAGAGCTAGAACTATTGATGTGAGAGAGATCGATGTTTCTCTGGGTTGGTCTGGGACTGGCTTTTGCCCCCACAGGTGGGATGGGACTTGAACCCCAACCTGCTACAAATTAGCTGCGGCTGCACTA